CGCGGGGCAATCCTGGGGACAAAGGTGGCCACTGCCACCTTGAGGCCAGCCTGGGCATAGTGTCCCCAAAAACGGGGCCACCTCGGGTGTCGCAGCAGCCGGGGTTCTGCCGGATTAGGGTGTCCCCGTGTTTTTGGGGGGGGGACACACCGGGTGCCCCCACTGCCTGCAGAGCTGTTCCCGGCCCGGGGGGTTTAACTCCCTCGCGAGCATGCGGGTGGGCAAAGACACGTCAGCGCCGCGACGAAGGGACCACGTCAGGGGTGAACGGATGCACCCCGAGACGTGGGGGGGTGCACCCCGAGATGCAGGGGACTGCGGCCTGCTCGGGGGAGCAGAGGAGCAAGGGGCAGCTCGGGGATGCTCAGCCACTGAGGGAGGGTGAGGGGGACCCCCAGGGAGCTGGGCGGGCAGAGCCAGCACGTTGGGAGGGAACCGTGTCACCGCAAGCATCCACCCAGGGCAGCCCCCAGCCCTGCGTGGGACCCCCACAGGACACCGGGCAGCCTCGGGGATTTGCAGGGTCCCCGATTAGTGAGTGGGAGGTGGGGGTGGTGCCTCTGGAGCAGCCAGTGCTCACCCCATCTGGCTTGCCTGGCCCGGCTCAGCACGCCAGCTCCTTGACCCTGCACAGAACCAGGCGTTGCACACGCGCATCCCAGTGTCCCTGAGACTTTATTCTGGATGGGGACAGCAAAGGGCATCACATAAGGCAACAGCACCGTAGCCTCAGGAGAGGCTGCTGTAGAAGTCCTCTGGGAACACCATCCAACCGGGGCTGAGCCCACGGAGCAGGGAGCAACCCACTGAGGCCAAAGGCACCAGGGTGTGTGGGGCTGGGCTGGCCACACATGCCACATCGGCCACCTGGAGAGGCTGAGCCTCGAAGTCCAAAGCACCCAGCAGTCCCCAGTTCCCACATGGCCTCAACATCTCCCCTGTCCCTCCTTGCTGGTGGGGGCCAGCATGATCCTTCCATCGCTTTGGCAGGGGAGGATGGAGACAAATGTCTGTCCCAGTGGCCACAGGAGCTTCCTGAGACTTTCCAACTGAGAAACACCAGTTGCTTGCTGGTGAGGCCAGACAAACTGGGAGCACTGGGAGTAGGTTCAGTCCTGGGTGCTTTCCTGCCCAGTCCTCCTTGGCAGCTCTCTGACCACCCTGGGAGTTCCACAGAGGAGAACACACGTGGGTGCTGGGGCAGGGATAGGTGCTCTAGGTTCTGGGTCCGAGGGCAGGTCTCTGTGGCAGGCTCACCACGCTGCCCTCGCCGAGGTTGCTGTGGACAAGCCGGGGATGGGTCGGGCTAAGCAGCCTGGCCTCCAGCTGGTTCCGCTCTGTGAGGTCTCTGTGCACGGGGGGAGGAGGAGCACGTGCGGGGGGAGCCAACGAGAGGGACTGGGGAGCTCGTACGGCCCCAGGACTCCCATGGAGATCTGGGGACTTGATATCCTCCTGCCCCTGCCCTGCTGCATCCCCACCCCAAGGCTCACCTCTCCTCTCCTGCAGGGTGTGGGGCTCTGCCAGGGACGCCAGGGCCACAGGAGCTGGCCTGCGCAGTGCCCCCCTTTCCGAGCTCCAGGGCCTGGGGGTACCTGAACATCTCCAGGTGGTCCCAGCCACGCTTCTGCAGTGCTTCCACATCCTGTTGCAAGCCGAGGTGGCCCAGGTACCTGCTGGCATCTTGGGACCGCTCGCCCCTGTCGCAGAGCCGCTGGGGAAAGAACAAGGACAGATGCCAGCAGAGTCACACCAGGACCACTAAGCCTCCACCTTCATGTTCTCACCCTGCATGAACCAGGCACATTGCTGCTCCTCCATCTTCCACCGTATCCCATTGCCTGTGCCATGGCAGCTCCACCAGACAGAGCACTGCCACGGGGATGGGGTCCCACATCCACTGGTGGCCCCATGGCCAAAAGCAGGTCCCCTCCCCGAGTTTCCCAAGCCCCTCGGCTGAGGTTCAGAGCCCCGGCGGGGACCACAGCTGTACCTCTCCAGAGCGGCCATGCTGGTGAGCATCCGGTGCAGACCTTGGCACCTCCCGGCAGCGCCGCAGGGGTGGCTCAAGGGCACTGTGGGTCTGGCACACCAGGACATTCTGTCTGTCGCCTCCATGCTCGGGGAACACTCGGTCCAGCTGGCTCAGGCACGTAGCCATGTGCAGCGCCGTCAGCGAGCAGTCGCCCAGCCCTGGTGTGTCTCTTGCCAGGACGGCTGATTTGGGCCTCTTCAGCCGGCCCATGCCAGGGGGGCTGAGCAGGTGCCCATGGGATGGGCCCCCCAGCACGCAGCAGGGCTGGCTGCCCCACTGCTCTTCCTTTGAGGGCGAAGGGACCCGCACCCCAAGGGGGCTCCGATGGCGCTGGCCCCCGGTTGGGCTCTCCGCTTGCTTCTTGTGTGCTTTGTCAGCACCCAGATCCGGTGCCCACGTGTTGGGGACCCCCTCGAAGATGAAGTAGGCTGGGTTGGTGTAGCTGCTGGCTGGCTCTGGGAGGCTGCGTGGCCGGCTCCTGCAAAGCAGGGCAGGAGAGGGCTCAGCATCACCCCACGACCAGGGCTCGTGGCAGGCAGAGTCTGGCTGGGTACCTGAGGCGCTGCAGGGGTGGCTTGGGGCACGTCATGGCATCTGCCACTGGCTCAGCATCCTCCTCCTCAAAGCTGATCCACTCTGCAAAGGCTCAGAAGTTGGACCTCTCCCCACTGGGCACAGCCACGCCGTGCCTGAGTGTGGCCCCAAGCCCCTATGCCCAGGGCGATGGGAGGGGGCTGGTGCCCAGCTGCTTTACCATAGAGCCTCTCGCGGGTGCTGCGCCTGTCCTTGGGGACCCGGACCTTCATCCAGCCACGCATGGAGCCCGTCTCCTCGCCGCGGTGGAAGAGGAAGGTCTCGAACTGCTGGGCCATGCTGCCAATCATCGACCTCATCGCGATGCAGCACTCGCCTGCGGGCACAGTGCACACCTACATTACCCCCCTGGGCAGCTCGGGGGGTAGGTGAGCCCCCATAAGCAGTAGCACCCCGCAGTGGGGTGCGTGTTGGGGTTCCTTCTGCCAAGCTCCAGCTGCAAAACACCCAGCAGGCTGTTACCTGAGCCCTGCGGGGGTTGTGCTTGGCACCCCCATGCCACCATGGTGGCCCCCCCAGCCTCCCACACGCACCATAGGACTCGCAGCTCTCCACACCCTTGATGCTGAGGAGCAGGTGCTGGTCCCCCAGGTACTCCAGGTCTGGGAGGATGGGGTTCAGCTGCACACAGAGAGTGGGGAGCTCGAGGGGGTGTGCACTAGGGTGGGGTGGCTCTGTCCTGGGGGGTGGTGACAGCCCCTGCCACCCCTTGGGGCTCAGGGTAGAGAGCCAGTGGAAGGGATGGGGAAGAAGATACTTAAGGGCTGGGGGGACCAGGGTCTGCCTCCCCCCCCCACCCCCCAGTGCATACCACAGGCAGATGCTTTGCAGACCAGCTCAACTTGAGGAAGCCAGGGATGTCGCAGCTCTGGGAAGTGTTTTCCCCGCTCCGCTGGGCCTCTGCAGGGGAGCGTGGGGGGCACAGCTGTAGATGTGGCCAGGTCCCCACCCACGGCACACCCCTGGCCACCCCAGGGCCCCCTCACCCTCCAGGCAGTAGGAGTGGAACTCGATGTAGCACTTGCTGCGGCTGGTGGTTTTGACGATCACCTCGATGCTCTCCCACTCGATGCAGGCCACGGGTTCGGGGCCCGATCCGGGAGCTGCGGACAGGCACCATCGGGTCAGCGTGTGCTGGCTGAGCCCCCATGGACAGCACTCGCCCCAAACTGGGTGCGAGGGGTGACAGACCCCAACCCTTTACCTTTCTTGGGCACAAACTGTGATGTTACTCCCACTTCGAAGGTGGCGAAGACAGGTGAGTGGTCGCTGGTCACGATGTCATCGGTGCAGCCTGGATGGTGGGAAGGGGCAGCTGGGTGACGGTCCCCGAGCACTGGCCACCCCGGGCTCCCTCCAGCCCTGGGGTCTCACTCACCATAGGAATTACAGACCACATGGGTCTCTGGGTGTGACTTCCACAGGATGCGGTCACACCACGAGGGCACATTGATCCTCACCTAAAAATGGTAAAAGCAGCCAGCTTCAGTGTCCCCTTGGGTCTGGCTCCTCCCAGCCCAGAAAAGCAACCCAGCATCCCAAAAAGTGACCTCCCTCCTGCCTGGATTCCTCTTTGGGGATGGGAGGGAGCAGGCTGGCAGCGGTGTGGGGGCTGAGCATCACCACACAGCCCCCCTGGCACCGTCCGAGCCTGACATCCCCCAGCGATGTCCTGCAGGTCACAGGAGGCTCCAGCAACTCACCCCCGTGGGCTTGAACTTCTGCCACATGTAGCTGTCCCGGGAGCCTCGCTCGTACCGATATGTGGGCGGGAAGGAGATGTCACCCTCACCTGCAAACCAAGACACGGAGGTGGCATAAGGGCCATCGTTCCTGCCTGTCCCCACAGCTGCAAGTAGTCAGAGGAGGCACCATGGGGTGTTACGGTCCCCACTGGGGTCATACGGATGCCCGGCACCCCCAGCCAGCCCTGCAGGGATGGGATCTGACTGTCCCCATGCTTGCACACTCTCGGTACACAGAGCCCAGGAACCTGCCCCATGGAGCTTACACAGTGCACAGCAACATCCCCCAGGCTTTCGGCACCTTGTGCGGGGCTATGCCGGGACAGGACACACCGGAGGTGGCCCAGGGAGAGGGCTGCAGGGACCAGTGCAGGGGCAGGCCTGTCCCGCAGCTTGGCAGGGGGGCCATTCCCTCTGCCCCACACTCACTGAAACGCAGGAACACCTTGCTCTTCTCCCGCTCCAGGTTGAGCTGGTCGACAGCCAGGAGGGCTTCAAACTCCTTCTTGGTTATGTGGGCAAGGATGTCCTGTGCCGGGAGGAAGGCACGGTGAGCCCCAACTCCTCTTGCCCCTGCGGCTGTGCCGATGGTGACGGTGCCTGCGGGGACCCACCTGCACGTCCATGTCCAGGCGGTAGTTGAGGTCCCCGAACCAGAAGAGGTGGGTGAAGCGCAGGGTGAGGTCAAAGGCTCCGAGCCGCTTGTCGCCCAGGACCAGGGAGCGCAGGATGTCACTGTAGTTCTGGTTACGCCTTGAGGAGGGGATGGCAGCATGGTGTGAACCTCACCCGGGATGCCTCATCCGTACCCTGCCCCTGCCAGGTGGGACAACCCCACAGCTTCCCAGGGCTCCTCCAGCCCCCGAGACACCCGCCTGCCTTGGGGCAGCCCTGTCCCCTCAAGTC